CAGATTAAACCAAGGTACAACTGTAACCCTTAAATGCAACTGAATCAGATTTCACTCCATGTTTAGATGTCATTAAAGAATAGCATTTTTGTTTTTGTTTTTGTCTTTCCATTTATTACTATTGCATTATGGCTGACTGTGGAAATTTCTGCCTCAAGGGCTAAAACAACTGATCTGGTACTGGGTCCCATTACGGACATTGATTTGTGTGAGATGGGGTCACAAGTTGTACCTCTATCTCTGACAACAAAATGTCTTGGGCTAGTTTGGGGGTGGATCTACACACAGGGGAAAAACGCTATAAATAAGTTAGCTATTAGATCGTTATAAAAAAGGGGGAGGACCCTATGGGAAATCGTGTATAAAAATTTCCTGCCCTCTGGTGCCATCTGGTGTTACATGTTTATAGCGCATTCAAATTGTTGTTTCTTTACTAATGTAGCCTGAGTCCCTGGTGGTGTGGTTTGGTCATCCACAAGGACACATGCGTCATGGAGGGGGATCAGTGCAGGATGTTACCTCTGACAAGTTGGGCTGGCAGTCCTGGAACATTGCACCTGTGTGTTGTGGCAGGCAGGGGGCAAAGGTGTTTGATTTTGATTTGCAAAGTTCCTGTAAAGGTTTCTTAGCAGACGCTGGTTGGAGACAGATGTTGCCATTAATCTGGACCTGCCTGTGTACTTTGCTTCAGCAGCCCAGTAATATCTGCGCAGCCTGTATCTTCATAAGTGAGCGAAAATCACAATACCCAGGCTAAGTGAACTGCCCTCTTCAGACTTGTCTGGGAGTAGCCCCGTTGAACACGGTGGGGATTACTTTTAGTAAATGTGCATAGTCTTGCACTACATGCGGTGAATTGAATTTTATGACCTGGTTTTTTTTATTGTGATTGGAACTGTATGTTTTGCAGAGTTGCTGCGTGGCTTTCTGGGCAGAAGTTGGTTGGGGATGGGGACAATATTGCAGGGGCTGGTGTTGCTTTGAATCTGGACCTCCCTATGTGCTTGTTTCTGCACCTCAATAAAATGTGCCCAACCTGCATCTTTGTGAGCAAAGATTACTATACCCACCCTAAGGCTACAGACGTTTCTGAGAATAAGCTCCACTGAGCACAACGGGGTTACGTCTGAGTAAATGTGCATGAGATTTGTTGGATTTTATGAACGGGTTGTTTTATTGTGATTGGAATTGTCTGTTTCAGCCTTTGTTTTTAATGGAATAGTATATTGGTTATTGGTTATTAAATTGCCACTTGTCCAGTTTTAATTTTAATTTGTTTGAATTAATTGAGGGATGTATCTTAAATTACTGGTCGCTTGTTTTTTATGCATTGTCTTACTTGTATGATGTTAGCCGCTCTGAGCTCGGCTTTGGCCGGGGAGGGCGGGATGTAAATAAAATTTCTTGTTGTTGTTGTTAATTTGTCTTGGGAAGGCTATAGTTTTGAAAGGAGCTTTAAAAACACCTGGGTTTTTCTCCATTCATTTTTGAGGAAGGCACTTCTGGAGACCCAAGGAGGGAACCAAAATCTGGAGGAAACATTTCACACCAAAAAAATAAATAAAACCCCAAATCTCACTTGAAAACAAATGGATTAGGGGCTGTTCCTGGTAAACAGAGCAGAGGGAAGATGCATAGTTGTTCCCTCATGTCATGGAACCTTGGAGAGTATTGCTCTGTGATGCAGCAGGCAGAGAATTCTCAGCCCTTAACAGTCTGTAGTTGCCATGTTTCTGTTGGGAGGCCTCCCAACGGTCGAAGGATGGCCGTTTCACAGGTATAATAGAAATTATTGATTTGTAGTATAGTTAGGGCCTTCTCAAGCTAATCTCTTGTAATATATGCCTTCTGGAAACTGATTTTTTCCCTGGGCTAAGTAAAATATATTCGACCTTTCTCTCTTCTCAGGCTGGATTGTATGCCTGAACTCTGTCCATAATGGCCAGTAGAGTTAGGAGTTTCAGCGACACTCACCTGACCTCCTGAAAGCTGGGTCCTTCACTGCTACTTACTGGGAGGGAGAAAAGGGGGAGATGGTAATGTAGCAGTGAAGGCGGTGAAGGTCCTGTGTGAGTGTCTGGAGGCGGTTGGAGGATGGATGGCGGCTAACAGATTGAGGTTGAATCCTGACAAGACAGAAGTACTGTTTTGGGAGGACAGGGGGATGGGCAGGGGTGGAGGACTCCCTGGTCCCGAATGGGTTAACTGTGCCGCTGAAGGACCAGGTGTGCAGCCTGGGAGTAATTTTGGACTCACAGCTGTCCATGGAGGTGCAAGTCAATTCTGTGTCCAGGGCATCTGTCTACCAACTCCATCTGGTACGCAGGCTGAGACCCTACCTGCCCGCGGACTGTCTCGCCAGAGTGGTGCATGCTCTGGTTATCTCCCACTTGGACTACTGCAATGCGCTCTACATGGGGCTACCTTTGAAGGTGACCCAGAAACTACAACTAATCCAGAATGCGGCAGCTACACTGGTGACTGGGAGCGGCCGTCTTGAAAGACCTACATTGGCTCCCAGTACGTTTCCGAGCACAATTCAAAGTGTTGGTGTTGACCTTTAAAGCCCTAAATGGTCTCAGCCCAGTATACCTGAAGGAGCGTCTCCACTCCCATCGTTCGACACTGGGGTCCAGCACCGAGGGCCTTCTGGCGATTCCCTCACTGCGAGAAGTGAGGTTACAGGGAACCGGGCAGAGGGCCTTCTTGGCAGTGACGCCCGCCCTGTGGAACACCCTCCCATCAGATGTCAAGGAAATAAACAACTATCTGCCTTTTAGAAGACATCTGAAGGCAGCCCTCTTTAGGGAAGTTTTTAATGTCTAATGTTTTATTGTATTTTTAATATTTTGTTAGAAGCCTCCCAGAGTGGCTGGGGAAACCCAGCCAGATGGGCAGGGTATAAATAATAAATTGTTGTTGTTGTTGTTGTTGTTCAGCAGGGAGGCCAGTGTGGTATAAATACATCAGCAGGAGTGCCAGATTGGCTCTGCTGGGGCATTTGTTCCATGCCTGGGCAGCAAATGTTACAAAGTAGTGAGCAAATGTCAAGTTTTCCAGCAGTCTACTTAGGTTGCAAGAGTTCTAGAGATCTGAGAGCTTTTTCATTGTTTTGCGAAATGTTTCCAGGGTATGGGTTGCCACTACCCTTTTGGGTTCACATCCAGGCCCAAAATTAAACCACAGTTTCTCAGTTTGGGTGAAAGGAGGTGAAACCCTGGCTATGACACGTGACAGAAGTAGGAAGGAAGAGGGAAGAAGGAGTAGCTCAAAGTCAGGGCCGGCCCAATATATTTTGGCACTTGAGGCCAAACTACAAAATGGCGCCCCCTCCCTGCCAGGGAAGAAGGGGTGAGTGAAGATTAACATCAGGAACAAGGGGAGACTAAAGATCTACATCAGGATCTGCCGCCCCTCTGGCTCCTGCTGCCTGAGGTGGATGGCTCACTTTGCCTCCTGGGAGGGCCGGTCCTCCTCAAAGTGGCATACATGGTTCTCCCCTGTCTCATTTACTGCCCACAACAGCCCTGTGAGGCTGAGAGGCAGTGACTGGTTACCCAGTGAGTTTCATGGCCAAGTCTCTTGGGTCCTACTCCCAACAATCCAATGACTACATCACACTGGCTCTCCTATGAAGTCATAAGACTTGCCATTTCTCAGGCTCATTATATATGAAACGCCAAAAGAGCTGTCACGTCCAGCTATGGAATAAGTGCGGGTTATTGAGATCATATATGTGAGGTGGTTTGAACATTTTAAAAATGTGCTTTATAAATGGGATCATTTGTTTGTACATTCCCTTTCATTTACGAATCGCATCCCATGAAACATATCGAAGCAAATTAGCTATGAAAGCATCAGCAACAGAAACATATATGAAAACCATTACATAACACAAACAGAATTTCAAATCCAGTGCAGACTGGGATAGGAGAATCTCCACTTTAAAAAGGCTTTACAGTGGTACCTCGGGTTAAGTACTTAATTTGTTCTGGAGGTCTGTTCTTAACCTGAAGCACCACTTTAGCTAATGGGGCCTCCCACTGCTGCCACACCACCGGAGCACGATTTCTGTTCTCATCCTGAAGCAAAGTTCTTAACCTGAGGTACTATTTTTGGGTTAGCAGAGTCTGTAACCTGAAGCGTATGTAACCTGAAGCGTATGTAACCCAAGGTACCACTGTATTTACCTTTCAGCTAACAATTCTGGTGTGTCGATATACTGATATTCAGGTCATTTGTAGACAAGTTAAATATAGTGGGGGGAGAGGCACAGCCCTGCCATGGTCAGTAAGTCTGCCCCACAATGAGGTGACCTAAGAAAATAATCCTGTTTTTGCCCCCCACCCTACCTATGCGTTCACTGAAAAGGGCTAGAGGAACAGAGTAAATAGGGGTGCTCTTTCAGCGGGATACTGACTCAAAACCATCACGTTAGCATGCCGCCAGCTGCTGCATCTGGTTTTATTAACCCACAATTTGGCATATCATTGCGGCCATGTGAATTTTCCCTTTAGCCAAACCACACATTTGGAACGGGAAGGAATTGCATCAGGTTTCACACCAGTGAAAGGTCAATGTGATGCTCAGTTCGTAGCAAGCAGGAAACTCGGATTTGCTAACCACCACATATCATTAATGCCAATAGCATCATGACAAGGCTTAACCCTCGTGCTTGCCTTATTGTTGGAGATGTTGACTCCTGTCTGTTTTCAGGTGCTGTTTCCAGGGCTGGGAAAACTGTGGTCCTCCAATCATTGTTGGACATCGGCCCCCATCATCCCTGACCACTGACTGTGCTGGCAAGAGACTGATGGGAGTCGTAGTCCAATGCAGCGCCACAGGTCCCCCAGCTCTGCTTTCCTCATACTGCCTTTTATGGTTTTTGGATTGACTAAAAATGAAAGGTTGGAATATAATGCATGCCAGATCTAGTCCTCAATTCAGAAACTTAAGGATAAAAAGTGACTCTGTGCCTTCATTTGTTACCCCTTTCCTAGGATGTCACAGGGACCCTGTTTTTAGCCGTCTTCTCTGCAGTCCTTGGCTTTTTCCAATATGGGTACTGCATTGGAGTCATCAATGCTCCACAACAGGCAAGTAAATGTGCTTATTCTTTTGTTTTGATTTGGTTTGCCATATTTGATCATTGGTCCTGTGTGTATCGGACGCAGGTGGCGCTGTGGGTTAAACCACAGAGCCTAGGACTTGCTGATCAGAAGGTCGGTGGTTCGAATCCCTGCAACGGGGTGAGCTCCCGTTGCTCTGTCCTAGCTCCTGCCAACCTAGCAGTTTGAAAGCACATCAAAGTGCAAGTAGGTAAATAGGTACTGCTCTGGCGGGAAGGTAAACGGCATTTCCGTGCGCTGCTCTGGTTCACTAGAAGCGGCTTAGTCATGCTGGCCACATGACCCGGAAGCTGTACGCCAGCTCCATCGGCCAGTAAAGCGAGATGAACCCCAGAGTCGGTCACGACTGGACCTAATGGTCAGGGGTCCCTTTACCTTTACCTGTGTGTATCAGAGAGGCAGGACTGACTGCAGTTTCCTGGTGAGTGTACACTTGGTGCCAGCCAAATCCAGCTTTACCATCACATGAATAGCCCCTAGGATCCCAAAGGATCGATCTGTGTGCAGTATAGGGACAACGAAATTCCTAATATACTTTTGTCATCTATCTATTAATTAGATAAAGTGGGGGGGGATATACAAAGGTTAGTATCAAATGTCCAATATCTTTTTATCCAATATAAAAAGTTAATCTAAATAAAAACACAAGCCAAAAAGAAGAAGAAGAGAAGAAGAAGAAGAAGAAAAGAAAGGAACGAAGGAAAAAGGAAAGACAAAAAAATGAGAGAACTTCTGTCTTTGTCTGTCAGCTATATGTAGAAAGTTGTTCAAAACATCCACTCCAAAATAACACCCAACAATTCCACTTTCTGTAAACCAATATTTTTCTTCAGTTCTCGAACCCAGATATTGTAAACTCATTTTCTTTTTCCTGCAAAAAGTCTATAAGAAGTTTTGGATCTTTAGTAAATATTGCACTTGTATCATCATTATAGATCATCATGCTCCACTATGGTAAAGTGCTGAATATTGCATCGTCTGGAAACGGGACAGATGACATCCTTAAAAACCCCACCGTCATGATGCTCTGGTCCACCTCTGTTTCTGTATTTGCTGTGGGTGGGATGATTTCCTCCTTCACTGTTGGCTGGATTGGTGAAAAGATGCCAAGGTGAGAAATTCTGGTTTCACAAGCGGCCAGGAAAAAGGGGAAACAAAACTTACGCGACATGGGCTGTGGAGATGGTCCTCACTGGCATGTGAGGGAACATCATTGAGACACAAATCAAAACCAAGTACTCATGCAGGCAGTGTTTTTTTTCAGCCGGAACTTTCCGGAACTCAGTTCTGGCACCTCTCAGATGGGCGCCTTTGCCATTCTAAGAGAACAAGGGAGGTGTTCATGGTGAGTTCTGGCACCTCTTTTTCTAGAAAAATAGCACTGTGTGCAGGCCTATGGTAATAAAACCCACAGGATCAAGAAAATGCTTCTATTAAGAGCAGAATAACACAGAATTGTGTTCCACAGACTTACATAGGGTGAAACAACACACTATGAGCAACATGGGAAGGGAGAATGGAATCCTGGTTTCAGGTTTTCATTCTCTCCCTCCATAATTTGAAGTGACATGTGTTCCTTGTACAGTGGTGCCCCGCAAGACGAAATTAATTCGTTCCGCAAGTTTTGTCGTCTAGCGAATTTTTCGTCTTGCGAATTATTATTTAGACAAAGGAAACAAAGTCGCGAGACGTTTTCGTCTTGCGAAGCAAGCCCATAGGGAAATTCGTCTTGCGAGGCAACTCGAAAACGGAAAAACCTTTCGTCTAGCGAGTTTTTTGTCTTGCGAGGCATTCGTCTTGCGAGGTACCACTGTAGTGATGTCTTATGTATATTTTATTTATTTACATAATAATTAGCTATTTATCCGTTCACTTATTAGAAGTTTATGTGCTGTATTCACTTCTGGGAGAAATCTCAAATGGTAAAAATAAAGTAATTCAAATCCAAATTTAGAAACCAGAGCCAAACAGACAAGACGGCCAAATCAACACCGAAGCCAGCAAAAGATGGTCAGAAAGAAACAGGCAAATAGATGTGTCTGTAACGTCCAGTGGTATGCACTCAATTTCACACAAAGGAGCACAGGAAGTTGCCTTATTGCAGAGTCAGACTAATTGCTCCATCTAACTCAGTACTGTCTGCTCTGGCTGGCAGCTGCTCTCCAGGTTCCCTACCTGGAGATGGTGGGAATTGAGCCAAGGACACTTCTGAACATAAAGCAGATGCTGAGAGGTTATTCCACAGGGTAGGTGCAGCTGTTGAGAGGACTCACTGCAGAGGAGTACAGCCTGGCCTCCCCTGAAGATTGCAGTGACCTGGGACAACTTTTGGGGACATAGCTCGCCATCATAAAAATAAGGCAATATGTGCATTGTGTCTTCCTTGTACCTCCACCAGTGACAACCACCTGGCCAGAAATCTAGATCAGTGGCACAGCACAGCACTTTTTAACACCATAGCATGGGGTTAATGCCCCAAGGGACGCGGGTGGCGCTGTGGGTTAAACCACAGAGCCTAGGACTTGCCGATCAGAAGGTTGGCGGTTCGAATCCCCACAACGGGGTGAGCTCCCGTTGCTCGGTCCCTGCTTCTGCCAACCTAGCAGTTCGAAAGCACATCAAAATGCAAGTAGATGAATAGGTACCACTCCGGCGGGAAGGTAAACGGCGTTTCCGTGCACTGCTCTGGTTCGCCAGAAGCGGCTTAGTCATGCTGGCCACATGACCTGGAAACTGTACACCGGCTCCCTCAGCCAATAAAACGAGATGAGCGCCGCAACCCCCGAGTCGGCCACGACTGGACCTAATGGTCAGGGGTCCCTTTACCTTTAGGGGGTTAATGTCAGTACACTTTACAGAAGAAACAGGAGTTCTCAACATTAGAATGGCATGTTTCAATAGCATCCTACGTTCAGGGGTTAAAATGTCCAGTCTCCATATTGTCTCACAGGACCTCACATTGTGTGGATACCCTCGAATCACCAGTGGGCAAATGTGGCTGAACTTGGCTCTTTCTTTTGCACAAACGTTGACTCCTTGCTTCCCTTCCTCACTGCAGAGTTAGAGCGATGCTGCTGGTAAACATTTTTGCCATCTCTGGGAATCTCTTTTTGGCCATTGCGAAATTTGGCCCCTCCCACATTTTCATCATCATTGGAAGAGTACTGACTGGGCTGCATGGTGGTAAGTCAAGGCGGGCTCCAAACAGGGGGTTGCTTCTCTCTGAGTTTCCCTGACAGTTTGCTTGGAGTCGGGGTCAGCATGCAAAGTGGCAGGAAATGGAGAATCAGAGGGAAGGGTGAAGGGAAAGAAGCCCTGATCTTTTGGGAATACGGTCTCCGTCTGCTGTTGACTCCACCGATTCATGTTATCCAAGCACTAATTCAATTCCTCAAGACAGTGGTTTTCAACCAGTGTGCCGTGGGACCCTGGGGTGCCTTGAATGAAGGCCAGGGTTGCCATGGGCAACACCGGCCTCTGTCCGTCTTTCCTTCCCTCCCTCTTCTGATGCCCTCTTGTGTCACTGCCTCCTGGAGGCATGCACAGCTCACCAAGTGAATGGTGCCTCTGGGGCTGGCCAGGCGGTGCTTCCTAGGCCCCTGTGGGCCGTGTGAGGACGGACCTCTCTGTTGGTGCAGAGGGGGCAGCTCAGAGATCAGGGGCAGCAGCTGCGGCTGCCCAGAGGACTCCCAAGGAGAGGGGAGAAGAGAGGAGGCTGAGGGCACACTCCACAAGGGGGAGAGGCTGCGAGCTCTGCAGGCAAGGGGTGACATTACTGGGCTCCTGGGCCCCACAAGGGTGCCACAGAATGAAGGTAGTTGCTCAAGGGAGCCATTGCCTTAAGACCTTCTTAAGACAGCAGGGAAACTATTCCTCTGGTTAGTAAATTGGAATATTTGTTCCAAACATTCTGAAACAATATTTGAAATTTGTTTTTATAAACACTTTATTAGGTTAACTACAATAGCAATCTTGTGATGTTTAGGTTTGGGTTGTTTTTTGTATTGTATATGGGTGTTCTTTCTTTCTTTCTTTCTTTCTTTCTTTCTTTCTTTCTTTCTTTCTTTCTCTCTCTCTCTCTCTCTCTCTCTCTCTCTCTCTCTCTCTCCCCACCCACAATTTTTCATGTCTTATTTTATTCTGTGCACTTACAATGATGTGTGTGTGTGTGTCACTTTTTATCTTTCAATAAAAGAATATATATTTTTATAAGTTGGCATGATTTAGCCTTCCTCGACCTGGTGCCTTCTAGATATTTTGGGCAGCAGCTCCCGTCATCCCTTGACCATGAGCCTTGCTGGCTGGGCCTGATGGAAGTTGTAGTCTGGAAGATCTGGAGCGCACCAGCAGCGGGATGGATTAGATGGTTGATTCATCTGCATGTTTTGCCCAGGGCTCTCCTCTGGACTTGTTCCACTGTATGTTGGAGAGATTGCCCCTGTCGCTCTTCGGGGGGCTCTGGGATCAATGAACCAGCTTGCTGTCGTTATCGGCATCCTCATCAGCCAGGTGTGTACCAAACGAACAGAGGACAAATTTATGTTTGTGCAAGTCAAGTGCTAAATGGGACAGCCATAAGCCCCTTAATGAGATGGTGATGATGATGATGATTAAAATTTATATACTGCCCTATATCCATAGATCTCAGGGCGGTTCACAAAACATTGTTGAATTTGTAGATTTCATTCATAGTGTGGGGTCTCAGAGGACCCAACAATAGTTCTCAGGGTGGTTCCCAACATAAAAACACAATATTAAAAAAACACAAAATACATAATAAGAACAAAAGCAAACTTTTCTCCATCTTTTAGTTCTTTGTTTTATCTGATGTTTCAGATCTGATCTAGCTGGAGAATTCCTGGCTAGCACGATTTTAAAGCAAACCTGAAAGCACAAACAGCTGCCTATGTCACCAGGTCTTAGGGCTGGGGGGTTATATTGGCTTTTCCAGACTCAGGGACGAAACCCTTCCCTGTTTGCAGTGCTACTGAGATCACAGAAATTGCTGCCGGCTAGATCTATGATAAGATGGTTCATACATTATCTTTCTCCACGTGATTGCACGGCAGGACAGCACAGGAGCCCTTTGTACGGTGTGCAGAACTGACGCTTGATTTACAAAGCTCCGCCAAGGGCAAATCTGTATTGCTGAACCATTCCCATGATGCAGCAGGGTTTTCTAAGAGAGCCATTGTGCTCACAGGACAAAATACTCTAGGTGCCTAAGATTTAATACCAAGTAGGTTGTTGATTTGATTTTGTCCATGAGGGGGCGCTCTGGGGCTTGCTGGTCCAAAGTTCTGAACATAAGAGATACAGTGGTGCCTCGCAAGACGAAAGTAATCTGTTCCGCGAGTCTCTTCGTCTTGCGGTTTTTTTCGTCTTGCGAAGCACGGCTATTAGCGGCTTAGCGGCTACAGTGGTGCCTCGCAAGACGAAATTAATCCGTTCCGCGAGTCTCTTCGTCTTGCGGTTTTTTCGTCTTGCGAAGCACAGCTATTAGCGGCTTAGCGGCTATTAGCGGCTTAGCGGCTATTAACGGCTTAGCGGCTTTAAGAAAAAGGAAACAAACTCGCAAGAACTCGCAAGACATTTCGTCTTGCGAAGCAAGCCCATAGGGAAATTCGTCTTGCGGAACGACTCAAAAAACAGAAAACCCTTTCGTCTAGCGAGTTTTTCGTCTTGCGAGGCATTCGTCTTGCGGGGCACCACTGTATTTCATTGTATGACTGTATGACATTGGGACATACAGTGTTTTCCATTGTAATAACGACATCTCTGAAAAACAAAGTCTATTCCTTTAGAAAGGAATGCACTGGGGCAAATAGAAATCAAAAGGACCTATCTGCCCAACTGCCCCACCCTCTCGGGCATTCAAATCAGCACTGGGAACTGTGAGAGGGACTAGTGAGGTGCCTAGCAGTGATGTCACCAAGAGTTCCATTTGAAGAATATCTCAGAACAATTCTAAGTAAACGATACATTCGTCATAAGTAAGTATTGGACACAAATAACTCTTTTCTTTATTTCAAAAAAGCAGCAACGAAAAACACTGGTCCATTTTCCCCCCCTTAGGTTCTTGGCCTGGATGTCTTGCTAGGAAAAGATTCCACCTGGCCATTGCTCCTGGCTCTCTCTGGCATTGCTGCCGTACTCCAGATTTTCTTGCTCTTTGGTTGCCCAGAGAGCCCTCGGTACTTGTACATTAAAGCTTCAAAACAAGAGGAAGCCAAAAAAAGTAAGGTTATTTCTAAGGGAGACACGTTGTGATCCATTTCGGGGATAGGGTGGTGATGGCAATTTATTTCCTCTCTAAGATGGGGCCTAGCTTTGGTGAAAAAGGGAGGGATTGCATTTAGGCACAGAGCAAGCTGCTGTCTACTGAGTTTCCTCTCGCCCTACGTGGCAATGTTGGGCATGAGGGTTGCCAATTTGAATAAAATGGGGGGGGCAGATAAGCCTCGCCCCACATCATCAGTGACAAGATGTGGGGCGCACACACCATTTGAATGGCAATGCCGATCAACTCGGAGGGGTGGCCCCCTCAAATATTTTATTGGAGGGCAAAGGGACCTCAACCCCTAGGAGTTGACTCCTTTGTTGGGTATCAAATCTGAGACCTTCAACATGCAAAGCAGAAGTTCCACAGCTGAAGTATGGTCCTTAACTTTCTGAGGCTTCACTCTCCTCACAGTAAGTCGGGGGCTGGATTTGGGAGCTGGGAGGAAATAGACTGTGCTCTTGGAATTAATTGGTATGTGCAAAACATGGCTGGTGGGGTTGGGTAAGAGCAGCAGAAGAGTAACAGGAGGCAATAACATGTGAAATGCCATAGACTTCTTACAAGTTATGAACACAAAAAATTACCTTCTACAGGGTCTGACCATTTATTGAAACCAGAGGTTTCCAGCATGGCCTTCAGATGACTCCCAACTTCCATCAACTCTAACCACTGGTTATGCTGGCTGGGGCTGATGGGAGTTGGACGCCATGTTGGCTACTCCTGGTCTACACTGATGGGCAGAACTTCTATAGGGTGTTGGGCTGAGGTTCTTCAACCAATCTTTTAATGGAGAGGCTTCTGTATTTAAGCAAGTACTGTTATCACTGCACTACAGCCCTGTCATTGAATTCTACTCAATATTGAGCCAGAGCAGAACTCCAATGTATAGTGAGCAGAGTAAAAACTTAAACACGCTGCAGGATTCCCAAAACATAGACCAGAGGCAATTAATATTTCATCCAGCAGAGCTACTGCTACTGAAGGCAAATGAGCATAATGGCCATAAATCTGTCTATAAGAGATCCAGTTGCAGCAGACTTAACTTGAACTTACAATAAATTATAATAAGTCTAAACCTTAACACTATGTACAGAACACCACACCAGAAGGAAAAGAGATAGAAGGAGAAAGTGAAACCCAGGCTCCTTCTGGCCTTACTTTTATAGTCAGCATGACTTTCACTGAAGAGATAACAGAGCCAGTTTAAGCCAGCTGCACTCAGCTTCTCTGAAGGTATAACCCAAACATCATGAACCTTCTGCTTGTTTCTTTCACACAGAGAAGCTTCCAGAACCCTCTTGAATTAATTAGAGTAGGAAAGATCTCTACACATCAGATCAGTACTTTCTGCACTAAGAAATGCAAACTGACAAACCCTTCCCTGCTTTCTGTAATTACAAAGGTGCAAAACATCATTTATTCCAGACTAGTCTATCCTCATGCTGACATTTCTATGTTTCTATGGTTTAAATGGGGAAGAGACAGCTGAGGCATTGAAGGCCTTCTCTTGAAGACAGGGTTGCAGTAGAAGTTGGTTCATTAGGGGCACTGCCGCACTGACCTCAGTCTGCACTCAGCCAGCCTTCAATCTTACATCCAGAGGGTGGCATGGGCTGCCAGATTCCTCCTCCTTAGTGTCTCAGTGCTGCCACGGCAGAATTCAGTAGGGAGGAACATGGGGAGAGAACCAGAATTGGCTGGCTCCGGTGGTGTAGTGGTTAAGAGTGGTAGACTCGTAATCTGGTGAACCGGGTTCGCATCCCCGCTCCTCCACATGCAGCTGCTGGGTGACCTTGGGCTACTCACACTTCTTTGAAGTCTCTCAGCCCCGCTCACCTCACAGAGTGTTTGTTGTGGGGGAGGAAGGGAAAGGAGAATGTTAGCCGCTTTGAGACTCCTTTGGGTAATGATAAAGTGGGATATCAAATCTTCTTCTGCAGTCATTGGTTCTGGCTCCATCTACACATAAGACTCTCTGCTTTCAACCCTACCACTCCCAACGGGTATCAGCCCCAACTGCCGCAAATGGCTGCAAAAACTGCATAGTCCTCACCAGTCCTTTAGAACCTATTGAATATTTGTTACAAATAGGCTCACAAAACGTCACGTTTTCTCAGATAATTTTCCAGAAGGGTGGCCGTGTTGGTCTGTTGTGGAGAACACTTCTGTCCTGCAGCACCATACTGGTAATTTTACTTCCACGGGCCATTTCTCGTCAAAGATGGAACCCACAATCCCTTTCCTTCCCTAGGCTTGCAACGGCTGAGAGGAGAAAACTACTGCCCTGACAGAGAGCTTGAGGAGATGGAGAAAGAGAAGGAAGAAGCCTCCAAAGAGAAGCCTGTCTCCATTTGGCAGCTCATCACCTCCCCTCTCTACAGGCAGCCATTCCTGGTGGCCATCGGGGTCCATATCGCCCAGCAGTTTTCGGGAATTAATGCTGTGAGTTCACCTAGTGATGGATCCTGGCAACTAAAGATATTTAAGCAGCTAATCAAACCGCACTGTAGCTTTGATGCAAGTTTGTGAGAGATCTTGCTCTTGGTCTCAATAGATTGTCAATATGCATTATTGTAGGTACAGCAGAAAACTAATTTGTGCCGCTGACACCCTGGAACGCTAGGGAAATGCTTTCCATGTTGATTTGTCTAGCGCAGTGAGAGGAGAGCCATTGGTGCCTCTAAACCGTTTACTCCTTTCTGCTTTGTTAGATTTTCTACTACTCCACCGATATTTTTAACACCGCCCGCGTCAGCCAGCCTGTTTACGCGACCATAGGCGTGGGATTTGTGAACACCGTCTTCACTGTTGTCGCCGTAAGTCTTGCCCAGCCGTAATTACTGAATTACCTGTGGGATTCTTTTTCATATAGTTACATGAGGGGTAATACCGTATTCTGTCACTAGGTGGGGTTATAGTGCACAACTGGCACCATTTTGTCAGTGCAACAGTGGTGTGCTGCTTTTTGCCTAACAAAAATGAACCTCTTACTGGCTTTTAAAAATAAATAAATGTAGTGCTTAGTGTTGGGAGGGTGAGGGTCTCAGCTCAGACCTAGAACGTTGGCAAATATCTAGGAAGGCCTAGATTTGAGAGCATGCAAGGAATGTTTGGGAGGAAGAGCTTCCTCAGTATATGAAGATGGGACATTGTCCAGCTGGCCTTAGCTGCCTTAGTCAGACCATTCTTCCCTCTAGCTCTGTATTACACTGACTGGCAGAGGTCTCCATACCTTCAGGCAGCAATTTTTCCAGGCTTACCTGGAGATGCCAGAAATCAAACCTAGAATGTTCTGCATGCAAAGTGTGTGAGGCTAGTTAGGCAGGACAATGACTGCAATCCTGAGCGTACTTACACAACCTTTGCTGAAATCAGTAGACATTACATCTGTGTTAACCTGGTTAGGATGGGGCTATGAGGAGAAGCAAGGGAAAAACCCGACTTTTTAACCAAATTGATGGAAAGGTCCTCAGGTAGTATAAAAACAAAACTATTCTGTTCAGTTAGTTGGGCAGCGGTCGATCAACCTCTGGTGCCCTTGGCAACATTTTTAAATCCTGTCTTTCATTTGACGTCTGGGATAGATGCCCTGCACGGCTTCCCTCTCTGCTTGTGTTTGCTCTTTTCCGTGAGACTTTAAATATTACCTGACATTTATCAAAAAGTCAACAGCAGGCGATCCAGATCAACAGGCCTGCTAGACATAATAACCACTTGCTTGGACCTTGTCCACCAAAGTAGCAGAAAGAGCAATCCGAACAAAGTGTACTGGGGCACCAAGCCAGTTGGAGGGCTAGAAAAGGGATATGCGTACAGATATACCGTTCCATGTCGTCAGAAAGGGATGCAGCTCAGTGGCAGAGCAACTGTAGAAGGTCCTAAGTTCAATCCCCAGCTTCTTCAGGTAGGGCTGGGAATGATCCCTGCCTGAAACCGTAGACTAGAGATGCAGGAGGAATTCATTTCAGGTTGCATTTGGGCGAACCTACGTAATTCACACTTTCTGAAACAATACACAGCCATCCTTTGAAATCAGCATTTCTCTTAGGGTGGATCTACACACAGAGGAAAAAACCAACACTATAAATAAGTGAGAAATTAAATCATTATAACAACAACATCAAAAACAACACTATGGAAAATTGCTTAGAATTTTTTTTTTGCTCTTTGGCACCATCTGGTGTTGCATGTTTATAATGCATTCAAAACGCTGTTTCTTGACTAATGGAGCTGAGTTCTTAGTTTAGTAGTGCTGTTCTTCAGACAAGTAATTTGTACAAAAATGCACATACCAGGGCAAAATGTTTGTAGAAATGCATATATTAGTTAAAATGTTAACATGCATAATATTTGCATACAAAAATGTGTATATTGGGATAAATTTGAGGAATCAAAATCAACAGTCGGCCACCTTTACCCTGGGCAGTTGTTGGCAGTCACTGTAGACAACAAGGTGCTAGATCAGGTTTAGGGGAACTTTGACCCTCCAGATGTTCTTGAAGTCTGACTCCCATAATCTCTGGTCATAAGCCATGCTAGTTGGTTCCCCACACCCAAGCTATATGGACCAATGGTCAGACTTCGGCATACATCACCTTCCCATAATTCCTATGCGTGCTCCCCAATCCTGCAACTGGCCATGTCTTTAGGATGAGAGCAATCACGGGAGACTTAAGGGTGTCTCTAGACAGGAGTTAAATATACCAAACGGGATCATTCAGATGAAACACTGCTCAAACCCACTTAAGATGCACCAGCACCACCGATGTGATTGGTTAAGGGAAAGGGTTCTTCCCACCGGTGACTGGTTGTCCACCTGCAAATTCAGGTTTTGTTTGGGGACAGTGTGGATACAGGCCTGCGAGGAGCTGAGTCTGGTTGCCAATTTAAAGTCAAAACGATGATGGGCTAACCGAACTTTTGCCGTTCTACACCCAACAGGTTTTCCTGGTGGAGAAAGCAGGGAGGCGTTCGCTCTTCATAGCTGGCCTCGCTGGCATGATGGTGTGCGCAACAACCATGACTATTGGGCTTGTCCTGCAGGTAAGGCTCCCCTTTGCGAGGGTCCTCAGAGGGGATTTATGCCACTGCCAGCTGAGTTTGAACATCCAATAGCACCAGTGTGGGGAGCCTTTGGGCCTATGGATGTTGCTCAACTACAACTGCCATAATCCCTGGCCATTAGCCACACATTGGCCTCATGCCTGCAATAAATCACACCTGTGGTCCACTTTCAATTGTTGTTTGAGGGGCTAATACCGTTTTCTGCCAGTTGGTGGAGCCATCGTTGCATTTGCACTTCTTGGTGTTTGAGGGCTTTAGACATTCTCTAGGTGGGAAAAAAGCAAACAGTAAGAATATTAGCCAAAGGTAGGTGTCGGGACTGAGGCCCACAGTGAGGCTTCACCATGTCCTGAGGACTATACCTACTGTATTTTGGTTGTCTGTCCCTCCATTAATGTCAGGGGACGCCTTACTAGAAAAATTAACCAATAAACTGAAACTGACATGGGGACAAATAGAAGAAGACGCCTTCACCCCAGTATGGCTCCCCTTTATCACATACACAGCCCAACAAGACAATGACAAAAATCCACCAACAGCATACAAATAAATATGTCTAACCTGATCCAAAACACCCACCCACCCCACTCACACATGAAAACAAAGACCACCACAGCCAACCACAAATGAACAGCCACACCCTAGGCCAACCCCAACCTCTCTCACCACCAAAGGAACAGCAGAGAACCTGCACAAGCGACACTGACACCAAGCCCTACATATATTAAGTAAAATAGAAACATTGCCACCCGACCCCACCCCCACCCATCTTTCCCCCCTCCACCTCTTCCCCCCTTTTCTTCCTAATGCCTCAACAAATGAAACTGATTTGTAAAAAATGATACATGGGAAAAAATACGAGAGAGAGACATTGCACATACTTTTGCAAATCAAGAAAATCTTTAATAAAAATACATTTTTTAAAAAAAATTAATGTCAGGGGACTTGTCTACTGAGAGCAACTAAAGACAGATGCATTAAGACCGACGCTCAGGGAATGTAATGCTGTTAACACAGTTCTGCTTTGCTTTGCTTTTTAGCCCAAAATCGAATGGATGAGCTACATCAGCCTGCTTTCCGTCTTCCTCTTTGTCAGTTTCTTTGAGATCGGGCCAGGACCAATTCCCTGGTTTATTGTGGCCGAGCTATTCAGCCAAGGCCCCCGCCCAGCTGCCGTCGCAATGGCCGGCTTCAGCAACTGGTTCACTAACTTCTGCATCGGAATGTTCTTCCCATATGTCGCTGTAAGGAAACTGTGTTGTGATGGAGACAGCCGAACAAGATTTTTCTTTCTTTTCTTTTTTTTAAAGGGGGGGGGTCCATACATTTAGAATTTAAAGTAGGGAACAGAACAGGCTACCAATCTAGAGTGACAAATGAGAAGGGTTGGGAATAAATTTCCAGGCTTTGCAGCGATATCCCATGGATCCCTTCTGCACTGATGCTGCAAGGGCACACAGAGAATGGCCAATATGTTGACAAAAATATCATAGGCAAATAAAGAGGGGTGCCATGACCAATGCTAGCGGATGACAAGGCTCAGGCCAGTACCTGGCTTGGGGACCCATCACTGTTCCACTGTCTTCCCTGTGTCTTCAGGAAGACCTGGACAGATCAGACAAAGTATGAACTAATTCTGGCCCAGCTGGACACTGTGTGGTGGGCAACTGGCAGCCCATGAGCTAGATATGGCCCGTGGGGGCCTCCCAATCAGCCCCCAGTGCCCTCTCCTTGCTTTGGCCCCTATGTAGGTTTAAGCTTGAAAAAGACCACCATAAGAGGCTCCCTCCCCCAGTCTAAATGTCTTCAGGCTCCCAGGTCCCCACAGAAGCCCCAAGCCAGCCCTGAAAAGAGTTACACTGCTTGCTTGCTTGCCATGCACTCGCTTGTTCAGCATGCAGGCGTTGCTCCTCATCGTTCTCAGATAGAGGCGCTAGCTCAAGTAGATTTTGCCCATCCTAACTGGGTGAACTCAAGAGATCACTTAACTTGGGTTCGTCTCCCTTCATGGTTCAAGCCTGGCAAAACTGGAGGGTTTCCATCCCTGTTGTTCAATCCTCGCTTGCAAAGGAAGTACAGGGTCCTAGGATGATAAGTGTTTCCAGTACAGGCGACGAGGGTATATATAACATTCCATCTATGGTGTAAAAAGTTATTATGAAAAGCCTCCCTCACAAGGTTGTAGTGAGTATAAAAGGAGGAAATGAATAACGTGTGCCGACCTGGGAGGAAAGACAGAATATAAACATGATCAGCAGCTGTGGAAGGAAATAAGCGTAGCTGATCTGAGTGGGGTTTGAAACCAACTCCAGAGAGCTTCTGATTCCAGCAGAGTTTGCACTTAGCAGTGCTGATCACAGCCAAATGCAAAGTCCACTTTGGGCAGGGATTTTGCACCAGTTGGGAGTGCCCACGTGAAACCAATCCGGTGGGGCTTGCATTCGGTGCCTAATTTGAAAGGGGCCAAACCCAAGAAGCCCTCGTAAAAGAACAACTGGGAGTGCTTTTAAGGCATTCAGTTGTTCCTTTACAGATGCATCCTTACCAACCCTGCATCTGATGTCATGTATGACGTCCATTGTGGGACAAGTCTTAGAGAAAGACATATTCTGCAATTGAAGAAAGGCAGGTTGTTTTGGCTGATCAACGTTGCTGGCATTGTGGGCGAGAGAATTCTACTAATTGGTCTTCTCTTTCTCTCTTGCCCGTCACAGAACATCTGCGGACCATATGTGTTTCTGATCTTTGCTGGCCTGCTCGTCCTCTTCATTGTGTTTGTTTATTACAAAGTGCCAGAAACCAAAGGAAAGTCCTTTGAGGAAATTGCAGAAGAGTTCCGTCGCCGAGGCAAAAGCGGGGGCCAAGGGCCCAGAACAGCCACCGAAATGGAGCGTCTGGGAGGCACCTCCGAGGCATAGTGCCTATCCCTGCAAGAAGGAAGAATGGAAAGAACATGCTGCCGGGATACATTCTGGAGGAAGCATTTATTTAAAACGTAAAAAAAAAATGGGAAGTGATCTTGATAGGTTGAGTCTGTTCTGTGGCTTTGGCTGGATGTCATTTGCAGAGCTGTGTCTGTTTCTCCCACTACTTCAGGAGTTCGTCTAATGCAGAGTTGCAAAGTCTCAAAAGCTGTTGTGCAAAAGAGGCGGAGGAGGTAGCTAGGCAGGGATCTGTGCCCCAGTCAATTTGTTATGTGGTTGGTGCTGGGTTGCCCCGGAGAACCAGGAAGTAAAGATGGTGGAGGAACTCAATTCATTTCTCACGTAAAAGCGAATTTTCCCAATTCACACTTTGCAAAACAAAGTGCAATCTGAAACTCAAAATTCACTCGTCACCGAATTTTGCAATGCAGTTCTTCAGCCGAGTAACGTGTACCAAAAATGCACCTAACTAGGGTAAAATGTGTGTAGAGATGTAAATATTGGTGAAATTTACACTGAAAATGCATGGCTTGGCAGGGGGAATTGCTTTGCAAAAATGCGGGATTAGGCAAAATGGCATACAAACATAATTAGGAGAAATTTGCATGAAAACGCTGGTGAATTTTCGGGACCTTTTTCCTTTTGTTAAACGCAAACTGGTGTGGAACTGTGGAGAACTGAATTGAGGACTGGAAACATGAGAAACTGAAATGGACAGATTTGCCCATCCCTTGCAGAGAGGTGGTGAGGCAGCACAGAACATGCAACAGGTGTGCTTCTGTGTGGCCATTCATTCTCAGAAATGGGACATTTTGCCATTACAAAGTTCACCAACGTACTGCTGGTGGAAGGCATTTGGTCACTTCAGCAGTACAGCCACTATTGACTTAGCTCATGGTTAGTTTCCTCATTTGCTAGGAATTTAAGTTTGCCATCATCACTTTAAACTGAAACAGGAAACTTAACTGGCAGCAAGTACAAGTTGGCTTGGTCCCTATGACCAGATGAAGAAATCAGTAATAGAAGGACTGACTTAAAAGTACTTCTGCCAGTCTTTCTTTATTAGCATTTCTTACCTACTGCAAGGCAGAAGAGTATTGGTGCTTGGTAGCATATTACCCAGGATTCTGACTCGCCTCCTTTGACATTAATAGCTCCTGTTTGCTGTTTTTTTGATTTCTAAAGCAACAGAGCTCCATGGGGAAAATCTCATGTTTCCTGACAGTGATGTTGGTGTACAGACATCCCTGACCATTGGCCATGCTGGCTAGGACTGACTGGAGTTGTAGTTCAGCAATATCTGGAGCACCAAAGGTTCTCTACTTCAGTTTAGGGCAGGCACCCCCAAACTCAGCCCTCCAGCTGGTTTGGGACTACAATTCCCATCATCCCTGACCACTGGTCCTGTTAGCTAGGGATGATGCGAGTTGTAGTCCCAAAACATCTGGAAGGCCGAGTTTGGGGGTGCCTGGTTTAGGAAATCAAAGCTACCTCAGCCCTGAGCAAATGAAAGATACCTTTTCATTGGATCTGACATTTTAAAAATCTAAAATATACAAGTCTTTTTTAAAAAAAAAAATCAAGTAATTTTAAAAGCAGAGGTCTGATCTCCTTCCATGCACAGATATAAGCAGGCAGAAGGGTACCTGAGAGCAGCTATGAGCAGCCTCTGGGAGGGGGCTTCCAGAATGTTGATTTTTTTTTATTTTTTGCAATTGAATCAATCACATCTCAGCAAATTTAAGGTGTGCAATGAAAAGTTGATTTGCAGCTGTTATACAATAAGACCACTTCCTCCAAAGATTGAACATTTCGCAGTAAGGAAAGTGGCAGGAAAACGAGTGGGACAGCACAGGAAACTCTTGCTTTGATGCAATAGAGTCTAATCTTTCTTCAAACAAATCAGGGTGAATGCTCATTAAGTAGCCAACTTCATTTAATCTCTCCACAGACAAATTGGGTTGAATGCTCAATAAACAGGTTAACTGGGAACAACCTGTATATCAGGGTCTGAAGAGGAGCAGGCTGCCACTTCATTGCACATACCAGAACTTTAGGCTTGTGCAATTCGAGTCTATTAAAGTGCTCTGTTGCTCTACTGTAATGACAGTATGACAATTTGTGGTTTGGAAAGTGGCTGGGAAATGCACTGGGAGGTGAACTGGTGACTAATGGGAAGAAGTGCAAACACTTCGCAAGCAACTGGGATACATGCAGGACGAATGCTCATTATCGTATAACCATCTTGCAAAGAAATCAGAACAGATGTTCAGTAAAGATGGGATATAATCTAACCTCTGCAAACGCTTTTTGCAAACGAATCAGGATGGATGCTCAATAAGCAGGTCATCCGGAGCAGCCTTTAATTCTACCAAAAAGGAAGGGTTTATATATACAGGATGGCAAAATACAAAGAGGGATATGGAGGTACCACTGTGATCATTTGCATGCTCAAAATATCACTGCCATTTTCTTTAGAGCAAGATGTGGCCAACAACAGTTTTTGGAACCCAGATATCAGATTTTCAGAAAGTCAAGAAATTTTACATCTGAAAATGAAAATTAGAAAGTCCTCAAATTTTATACACGTTGCAAAATTGTTGAGGGCGCTGTTTTCCACATCTACTACTGAAACTACCTGTTTTGCGAAATATGTTGCTCATCTGAATCACAATACTACTCTCAGAGCAACGCTCCATTAGCACCGTTGGTTTAAACCATGTACCACTACTGTAAAGGTTGGCAACTCAAAACTTACTTAAGTGCTGAAACTAGCACCTTGAAATGCAATATTACCACAGCCTGGCACTGTGGGTTAAACCACAGAGCCCAGGGCTTGCCGATCAGAAGGTCGGCGGTTCGAATCCCCGCAACGGGGTGAGCTCCCGTTGCTCGGTCCCGGCTCCTGCCAACCTAGCAGTTCGAAAGCACTTCAAAGTGCAAGTAGATAAATAGGTACCGCTCCGACAGGAAGGTAAACGATGTTTCCGTGCGCTGCTCTGGTTTGCCAGAAGCGGTTTAGTCATCTGGCCACATGACCCGGAAGCTGTATGCCGGCTCCCTCGGCCTATAGAGCAAGATGAGCGCCGCAACCCCTTTTGCCTGTCCTGAATCTTCCAATGCTTAACTCCATTGGATGATTCTGGATTTGGGAATTATGGGGGAAGACAAAAAACATCCCTCTATCCACTTTCTTCGCGCCATGTATACTTCCACCGTGTCCTCCCTTGCCATTTTTTTTCTGAACCCAAAAGCTCTGAATGTTATAACCTTTCCTCAGCAGGAAGTTGCTTGATCATTCCAGTTGCCCTTTTCAGAACCTCTTCAATATCGTTTTTTGAGGCAAGATGACCAGAAGTGTACACAGTATTCCAAGTGCAATCGCACGACAGATTTGAACAAAGGCATTATGATCCTGGCAGTTCTATTTCCAATCCCTTTCCTAATGATCCGTAGTGTGTCCTTCGCCTGAGTCAACATCTTCCTTGAGCAACACACTTATGACACCAAGGTCACACGACCCATTCAGTCTGTATTACCATATATGTGAAGTTATTGGGGGGTTTTTTGCCCCTAGTGTGCATCACTTTGCCCTTGCTTACACTGAATCACATTTGTCATTTTAATTAACACCAACTTACCCACTTTGGAGGGAACCCCTTTTTAGAGCTCCTTGCAACCTCTCTCTCACCACCCTGAACAATTTGCTATCTTCAGCAAACTTGGCAAGCTCTCTGATCACTCCTAATTCTGGATCGTTTATGAACAAGTTAAAAAAGAACAGGTCCCAATGGCAAGCCTTGGACCAACGAATGGACAGTGAGAACTGCCCATTTGTCGGGACAGGCAACTCCCAATTCATGTGGCGGCTGCGTTCCAAGTCACCACACATTTAAGTGAAACTGCGTATATTTGAAACACCATTTTAAAAGCTTGCAAACACCCTGTTCTGCCTCGTTCCTCCGCTTTTTGTGACTTTTTGGGTCACTTCCGGGCTCAGCGCGATGCACACTTGCACAGTCGTGCACATATCAGATGCACCTAAAACAGTTGCTGCCTGTACACTCTGCTCCCTATGCTTTTAGCAGCTACTAATCCATAAGCAGACTCTTATCCCAGGACTGTTACGCTTACTCAGGATCTTTGGTGAGGGATTTTACTGAAAGCCTTTTGAAAATCTAAGTACACAATGTCAGCCGGATTACCCCTATCAATATGCTTGTTGACACTCCCGAACGCTAAAAGGTTAGTGAGACAAGGCAGCCAGAGACACTGAGGTGCTTTGTAAATAAAATAACTGTTTAAATACTATTGACCATTAAAGTATTTTTATGTGTGTTTTTACATATATCTTGGCTCTTCATTGTAGATAACTGACGTTTTTATTATTTGCAAAAAGAAGCAGCAGCATGCAGTCTGTCTGTGACCAGATGCCATGTAAGCCGCCTCATAAAACCAGCATGCTAAAATCACTATATTTCACCATCTTGTCCTGACACCGAGCAGAGGGGAGGGTCCGACACAGGAAGGATGAAGTTCTTGGGGTACCAAGGATGCAGGTGAGGAGCAGGCAAGGTTGGACTGGAGCAGCAGAACCTCTGAAGTAGAAAACTTGTTCCCGCAAGGCCTGGAGCCAAACTTATAGCCACTCCTGACCTAGCAACTTTCACAGGCTCTGCCACATCTAAGTGAAGGTATTTAAATGGCCGGGAATTTTCTGTTTCATTGAGCCTCAGCTACACATTGTCTAGCCCGATATGCTGTCAACTTTGGCAAGTAGGTCCAGAACTGATGTCTGTTTCTGGACCAGTGTGGTGCCTCTGCAGCCCAAGTTACTAGACTTCAGAGCTTCCTGGGACTTTCAGGCGTGTCTCCTCAACCAACTAGTGTCCTGGTCACTGCTCAAAGTGTGACATGCACACAAATATTCCACATATCACTTGCAGCAATGAAAGGCTCTGAGGGGGGATATGGGATTTAATTTCATTTGTAATATCCCATCATTCCTCCAAGGTGTTCAAGATGGCATACGTGTGTCCCCTCACTTTATCCTTATAACAAGGTTGTTGTTGTTGTTGTTAAAACATTGTTGTTTGATGTCTGGGAAAAGGCAATTCCCCTCAAGAAAAATCAGCCTCCCACAACAAATCAGATATTCATTGACCAAATGAGAAAAATCATCCTCAGGGTTAACGGTGTTTATCTATTTAACCTGTATTTTTCTTTTTCTTTTTTAATATAATTTTTATTAGGCTTTTTTAGCATAACATTTTCAACAATTATTAAACATACTTTTATATCTTATACAAATATTTTGACTTCCATCAATCACATCTGAAAATTTTCTAACCTTTTCCACTTGATTTACATTTCTTACTTTCACTATTACATTTAAATATCATAACTAATATCTCTCCTCTTTCTCTTCTTTGCAATATTTCATTTTTTCCCATCTTACCAATTTAAAAATTTGTACTCTTTTCCCACCTGCAAAGGAGTTGTTCAAAGCAGCTTATAAAGAGAAAAGCAACCAACCATAAAAGCCCAAATTATCAAACTGAAAACAGCAGCAGCAGCAGCAGCAA